TCTCATGAAATTTTGAGATTGTACTTATCGTGCGAGCGGTCTGAAGACAGCGCGGGCGTCTGTTACGCGCGCGCATACATAATGTAATGTTTGAAGCATACGTCTTTTGTGTCGCAAGAATGGACTAAGGGTACTAGACACGATGATATGTATCGTAAGAGTGCGTTGTTACTAAACACAATGATGTTGTGTGCGCATGTATTCGTCGTGAAAACGCAGTCCCCGTCCACCATGCATTCGGGAATCCGGCGCATGCCGTGACGTTTGAATCGATCGTGTGCGCGGATTGTAGAAGCTTGGTGAAACTCACGCGAGTGAACCCCGAGTACGATTTTGTTTGTAACCCTGGGTTCACGTATCACCGCATAAATAGATTAATAATTAATTTATTGATTAATATGCGCATTAATTCTAGGGAAGTTTGAGCTACGTCAATATAAATGTGCAAAATATATACGCAAATAAACATATGCAAAGTATACACGCATATATACTCATTTAATTAACCACAACAAAATCGATGTATTTCGATGTGTGCGCGCGAAGAAAAACAAATTGTGCAAACAACTTACTCGTTTGGAGCATTTGGCGAATGATACAAATTCAAGTCCTGGAATATGATCTGTACCCGTTCCTTTCCCCTTCCTTGAAAATCGTATGTACACTGCGACCTGGCTGGATATGAATTCGGGTATGACGGAGATGTGACCACGCCTGTTTTCGTTAAATCGCTGTTGTAAACCACGTCGCAGAGGGACGCTGTAACAAAGAGAAAACGCAAGTGACTTAACGAGCGGTAACAATCGACGAACAAAAACACCAAATACGACGAAAAGTAATTAATTGACGTGCGGCAGAAAGAAGAAAGAAGAAAAGGCCAATTAAATTACGCGACAGCTTTTTTCGTTGCAGCGCTTATTTTATTTTATTTTTTTTTTCAGTTTTGCGCGCTTGGCAGAATAATATACGTTGTATATGAGTTAAATTATGAATATATTTTACGTTTTAATTACAAGCGCTTGCACATCGACGGCTCGCTATGCAAACGAGAGAGAGAGAGAGAGCTGTTGCGTCGCGGAAATGTGTGTTATACGAAAATCGCGCAAAGACTACAAAAATATGATAATAATTACGGCATACACTTATTCATGAAAATAAATTGTTCCGAATTATAATATATATGTGACAAAAATTCAAAAACGCTGAAAATATTTTTGTTTGCTTACCAAACGCTAAATAAATTTTGATCGACTTATTTTCACATATGTTACATTATTTTTACATAAATTAATATTAATGTGCAAAAATATTAACGCACACATTTAACATTTAAGTTTTTTTAAACGTCACATTTCTTTTCATCGTTTGCCATCTTTATGAATCCTTATATTATCTTTGTGAATTTGCATAAATGTTAAGATTGAAGGAGTCTCACAAGAAGAAGATGTGAAATTATTTAATGTGATAAATATCTTAACCCGCGTTGCCGCGTATAACGGCACCACGATTGTAGCGCATATTCGTTTCGAGTCTCTACGCTTTAATCTTCCTGACAGTTATTAATCTTTCCGTAATTTAACGCTAGAATCGCTGAGGTGCGCTTCGCAAGATGAATCCTCCGAAGAAATGCCGTCATTAGGCAACCCCTGGCGTTACGTGAGATCTCCGCGCGTACTTGTATATTTCCCCGCGAATATATTTTCTACGATTCTCAGAAGTTCTCTCTCTCTCTCAGACTTCCTTTTGCAGTAAACAGCGTAATGTCTATTCGTGCGTAAACTGTCAGTATCTAAAATATAATTTGTGTAGAATTTCAGTTACGATGTCTCTCTGTGCTCGTTCAAAAAATTCAAAAATGTCTTATCTGCCTTATAAATCAATACAAAAAAACATTCAAAATTGCACACTTAAATGCGAAAAATTGCTTGAACACAGCTGCACACAATGATTATCGGAAATTATCTGCCTAAATAAATCGTTCACTCACGGACAATCGCGCTTCAGAGGGTGTTAACTTACCGTTGAACTTGGTTCGGGTACCAACCAGCGGTAATTAATATTGCCACACGATGCGTGTAATCGAAACGCTGAAAAGCTAGCTTAGAGATGTAATAATGCATCGTTGAATCTGAGCCTTTCGTAATTCATCGTTCGATTGCGCAATATAATGGTTCAAAATATAGTGTTCGCGACTAGGGGATGCGAAAAAATTCGATAAAACTGTCATTTGGCCAGGGTCACCGTTCGCGAAGTCTCGCGACTCTCTCGCAGCCGACATGCAAGGCCGACAATGGCTTTTATCGAGTTTAGAGAAAAAAAAAGTGACGCAATATCTCGACCAAGCAGCTGCCTAACGACTTTCGTACGATGTGAACACACACGACGCGCGCGCGCACACACACACACACATACACACACACAGAATACAATACCTTATTTAATTCTTTGACTTAATGAGAAAAAATATTTGTATCATTTCCGACGCGTAACGCGCTTTTAACAGTCGCGTTCAAAAGGGAACGACAGCGTTGAGAACGAGATGACTCGATGTACTGAAACTGAAAAGACGCGAGATATCAATGTATCGTCGTGCCGTCGTCAGTCATGAATGTTGCACGAGTGTTTGTATCAGAAGCGTACTTATCTCGAACTTTGCATTGCTACGAGAATATTGGAAATATTCGTTCGTGCTCAATCTTTCTCTTCTTTTGATCTGTTCTCCTAGTATCGTTCTTAGCTCGATTTCTGCTTCAAGTTTATACGCTTACGGTAATGTCTTCGACATGTTAGAGAAAAATATATATATATATATATCGGTTGAATGTTTTAAGTCCAATGTTGGTTTTTTGCTAAGTGAAAAAATATAGCTCGTCATATTCAACATTAATATATTCTTAGACGAAAGAAAGAGAAAGAGAGAGAGATTTTATTCTTAGATGGAAAAATTGCGTCTTCCATTAATTTTCCCTGTCGTTTCTTGGTCGTTCCGTCAATTCTCATTCCAACGGCATATTATTGGAAATGCTGAAAATGTGCATTATGCCGTGCCATAATGGCCACCGCCTTCTAAAGCTTTCTTATTGTTGAGCATTGCGTTGTGCCATATATATATATATATATATTTATGGCATATATACATATATATATATATANGCCGTGCCATAATGGCCACCGCCTTCTAAAGCTTTCTTATTGTTGAGCATTGCGTTGTGCCATATATATATATATATATATTTATGGCATATATATATATATATATATATATATATATATATATATATATATATATATATATATGTATATTTCCGGAAAAACTTAGGGAAATACGCACGCCGCAAAAATAAAGAAAGCACATAGAGGCGGACATTACGATTTTTGCGGGCACCTAATGTCGTGAAAATGGTACGCAATAATGGCTTTAGATGACGCTATGTTGACCACGTTTAACGATATTCGATTAAAATTACATTAACTCGTTCCGCAATTCGGGCGCATTTCTCTGTTGTATACGTTACTTCCTATTAAATTGATTAATTCGCGAATGTATACATACGAACAATTTGAAAGATCGAAAAATTACGAAAATTAATTATTATTCATCAATCTGTAGATGAGTATATCGTGTTTCCTCTGGATATTATTAATAATCACGGTTATCGACGCGCGTTTAAATATCGTTTATAAAGGAAACTAAGTAACATATCGGAGAAAGAAGAGAGATGCGGGGCCCCGCCAGTAGAAAAGCGGCAAAACGTTTTAATTTGCATTCATGAGCCGTCCTCAAAATTCTCAGAGTCACCAAGGTATTCCGAGAGTACGTCTCCCGTTATATCTGAGAAAACGAATTCACTTACGACGATCAATTTCTATACTCACGAAGGATATTGTGCTGTCAGACGTGGTCTGCTCCAGAGAGATTGGCAATCGACGGTTTTTAGAATAGCGATCGTATTTTGCTTATGTAAACTGTCATATATTATGTATGAGAAACGAATATCAAAAGAAAGAGAACGGAACATTTATGTCCGGCCTTTTATACGGAAAGAGATAGCAGAGAAAAAAATAGCGTCGCAGACGCTATAATCAGTAAAACGCCGCGCGATTAACACTTTAATCCGTATAGCGGCGCAATTTAACGCGTCGTGTCGCGTTTTATTCACGAAAAAAAAAAGAGGCACTTTCAAAACCGCTTCCCCCACGGTGACGATTTCACCACGTCGGTTTTAGAAACTTTCGCGTCGCGTCGAGTAATTGCGCATGGACGCAACACACGGTGTTGGATACGCGCGCGTTGCAACGCGCGGCGTTGTCGGAATAGTTTTAAGCTCGTTTCACTGGCGACACACATACAAGGTAGAGGTATATATTCGCAATCTACATGCATAGGCGGTGGTCAGCGCGCGAGAAAAGGCTCTCGCCGCGGTGTTTCCGTAATGTAACATAACGTAAAACCGTTGACAATCCCGGGTCTCGCCACAATCGCGGATTTCCTAATTAAACAGCACATTTAGCCGGGGAACAACTGAGTCAGCAGCCGTACCGCCCGCCGCCGGCCCGGAGGGTATTAATAATTTACGAACTTTGTTGAAATTAATTTGAACGCCATTTGCGAGCCGCGTCTTGGCGGTAAGTCCTGTCCTAACTCCGCAGATTTAAGCAACTCGCTTCTCTCCCCACCGTTTCTATCCCCCAACCCTATATCCGCCTCTCACTCAGCAGAATTCCGTAACGGGAGATATATCCGCATGGCTTTCCGGTTCCGTTCGAATGATGAACGTTCATATTTTCTTGCGCATTTTGGCGTAACCGCGAATACGAACATCCGCGCGCCGCGTGCTTGCAGCCAGTAGTTGCCGTCGACAGCAAAAAGTTTTGTCGCACTGCCATGAAATGTAATTTAGACTTTAAATTAGAGATTTTACGCACTTCTCCCCGATAATTTTTAAGCAATAATTTCACCCCAAAAAAATTACTTTTTCCAGTTACGCGACAACATATACACGTATATTGTTGCTTTCGGCTTTGCGTCCTCGCAAAGCTGTATATGTGTATATATATATATATAACGGGGGTAATTTTCTCCCCAACTCTTTATGCACATGATACAGAAAATAAAATTGTCAAAAAATAAGTGGGAAAACGTTTTGTTCTCTCTTCGAAATCTGCGAAATCTGTATTCGCATTCGTATGACGTAAACGCGTCAAATGCACTCGCGGAGAATATATGAAAGTTCGTGCGTTCGATACAGACCTGAGTTATGATCTCGTGAAAAAAATATGACCGATCAATCACGTGGCATATCGGTTCGGCGCGCCGGCGAATAATTTGAGAAATGAGAGAAATTGAGTTTCGGGAAAAATATCGCTTTTATATAATGTCACGTGTGTGTGTGTGGGTGCGCGAGATAATTGATTAATTACAAAGCTTTCCGGACAATAGCATCTTATTGCATAAGCGCCGCTAAGTGCTCTTTAAAGAGCTCTTTTTCTTTCTTTTATGCATCTTCTTCGTGCGCAGCGTCGGATAGCTGCTACGAATAGATGAAGATAAAAAAGATGTAGCCTGCGGCCTAGAAAAAGGTTATCACCTACTTTATCCGGCTAGCGAGCAGCTCGTTTATCGTTTGCAGGCGCATTAAGTGACCTTTGAGATCTCGCAAGTTCAGCATAGTTTATTATTCGGCAAAAGGTCAATAGTTCACCATATATAATTTTATCTTTTGCAATAAACTGCCGGCGCATGGAAACTAATGTAATAT